ATATGTTTTTTTTTTGTTTAAAAATTAAAAGAAGGAGTTTATGTTATGCGTACCTTAATATACTTCATCATTTCTGTCTACTATTCATATATAGATGGCGCTACAAACAACCACTATCTACAAATGTCAAACAAATTTTCATTAATTACAAAGCGCCGGCGCGATTAGTGCAAATATCTGTTAAACATTTAATTTGTTTAAAAATTCATATGGTTTAATTTCGTACATAATGAGTATCTTTCAAGGGACAGAAAGCATACAGGTCAACACAAGTATTGATCGTGCTGCAGAGGAGGAGGCGTTAGCCGATCAAAGACGCCGCGAAGAAGAGGTTTGCATGAAATAAAATTAAGATTTGTTCTTACCTTTAAYGATATTTAACAAATTATTTATAGTTGGGAAATTTATTGCAAAATGCTTTTGATGATTTAGAGGAAGATGAGACTACAGTCGACTCAACTACAAACTTTCATTCACACTTGAATGATGAACCTCCAACGCACCCAAAACAAGGACATCCACAATTGCAAAACAATAATATTCACGCACTAAATCTGCCGCCAGCTGCATTTGATGCAGAGGTGCATCAATTAAAAATGTTACTTGAATCGCGGACACGCGAGTCGGAACATTTTAAAAAGTTAGCCAGTGAGGAACAAAAGAAACGTGATGAGCTACAAAAGCGTTTGTGTATAGCCGAAGCCGAGTTAGATCGCGCATTRGCGAGTAAAAAGAGTACACATGAATTGCTTGTGGAATGTAAAGAAAAGTGTTCAAATTTAGAAAATAATATTAGTAAATTGCGTAGTGAGAAAAAATCACTTGAAAGTGAACATAACATAGTGCTGGGCAAATTGGAAACCACACAAATGCTTCTGAGCGATGTGCAGCAAAAGTACGATATGGTGGAGCGGGATTTGGGCAAAAATAGTCAACGCAATGCCGAATTGCAAAGGAAACAAATGGAAGAAAGACATAGAGCCGAAATGGACGTTATGCAACAGCAAATGGAGCAATTAGTTTGTAAGTTAGATAAAAAAACGAGCGAAATGGAAAGTTTACATGCACGTTATCTGGCGCTGCAAAGCAGTCATGAAAATATGTTAGTCGAGAAATCTGGCAAAATTAACGACTTGAATCATGCCTTAGCTGAAGCACAAAGAACTTGTGAAGAATTTAGAGCGCGGCAGGACTATCAACAGGTATGTTTAATGATAAAGCTACATAATTATAAATTATACCAGCCCTCTTCTCTAGGAAAATATGCGTTTGCAAAAATTTATAGCCAGTCTACAGGAACAAATTAAAACTATGGAGAAAACTATAAATTCATTAACCCAGCGTTTGGAGCATACCACAGCCGAGCTGGATGTGATGGATAGTGTGCTGCATCAACACAATCAAGAAGATACACCTGGCCGTCTAAGTCAAACTCATGGCAAAGTAGTGGGTAGCACGCCGTTAACTACCACAGATCGTTTGGGTAACCTTAAAGATGAACTCTATCGTGCGCTCTCCAATATAAAAGGCAAGCGCGATGAGATACGACGTCTACAACAAAATCTTGATGAAAAAATGGCAGAAAATCGCACACTACGTGAGGAAGAAAACAAAGCATTGGTACAAATTTCCACACTTAAGGAGACAAATTTGAGACTTGAGACTCGTCTTAAGCTGCTTGAACAAGAGAACGAAGAGCTATGCATCAAAGCGGCAAACAGGCATAATAATACCAGTAACAACAGTACTAATATTGAAGCACTGCAGCAGCAAATGAATGTCGAGAAGCAGGCGCTGCTAGAGCAATGCGCGCGCTTTGAAGCGGAGTGTAAAAATCATGAGCAGGAGCGTAAAAAGTTGGATGTGCAATTACGTAATGTCGAAGTTGATTTGGAGGAACTTAAACAGGAGCATGAGAGCATGAAAGTTAACTATGAGCAAATAATGAAAGAGAATCAAAATCTGCGCAGTCGCACAACAGCGGATAACATGCGGCTGGAGTTGGAAAAACACAAATTCCTGCTAAAAGATGCGCAAGCCGAATGTGATCGTTTAAAGAATCTCTACATTGAGATATCTAATGCAAAGGAAGCGATGGGTTATGAGTTGGAAAAATTACGTAACACAGATAACATTAAAGAACTGCAAGAACAACGCGAGAAGGTAGCCAATCTTCAACGAGCGCTACAATTAGCCGAGGTAAAGTCATCCGAATTGACGAAAATACTTGAGACTGAGAAAATATGCCACGAGCGCGATATGAAGTCACTGAAGGAACGTTGGGAGAAAGAGAAGACTGCAAACCACAAAGCAATCAAGGCAGACAGTTCAAACAACTGTAGCAAATGCATAGATTATATGTCTGAAATAACGAAGGTAATTAATTAACTATACTTTGAAGAAAAAATTKAAATTTTTTAACATATTACTTGTAGTTCGAAATACAAAACCTTAAGCTAAGCAATGTTAACTCAATTAATAAAAAGGAAATCGACGATCTTACGCAGCAACTGGAAGAATCTAAGAATATCATAGCAGAACTCAACGAAAAACTGAAGCTCAGCGAGCAGCAGGAGAAACTCATACGAGAACTKAAAAATAAGGCCGCTCGCTTCGAGGAGTACATAAAGAGCCATAGTAGTGCATCCGAGCCGGGTAGTGCAACGACATCCCCGCTGAAACAAAAATCCAACGACGAAAGTGCCAAACAAGAATGTAAACGTCCTCCCGTTGCCGAAACAAAACAAATTGAATCACGTATACGTGACGAAATGGCAAAACTTTTTGCTGGTGAAATAAAACGCTTCCAAATTAAGCTMCATCAAGTTGAAGAGAAAAATATATGTTTGCAACGCGAATACCAAATTGTGAGCAACGAACTGCAACAACGCACCACCGAGGTGGAGCTGCTGAAACAAGCCATACTCGCAGAGCGTGAACATATGGAGGATATACTGAAGCAGAAAGACGCTGAAGCGCATGAGATGATTGAAAAGCAAACCGCAATATTGCATAAATGCCGCGATGAATTGTTGGCCAAAAATCAGCGCGTCACACAATTGTCCAAGGAGTTGGAAGAAAGGCAAGTGCAAATAGAAGCTGAGCGTCAATCCATGAAGGCTGTGATGGCGCAATGGGAGGATCAACGCAAGCATGTGGATGATATTGAATCGGAGTGGAAGGATAAGGTGCAGTCGCTGGAACGAGCACAAGAAAAAGCTTTAGCGGCTTGGCAAAAGAAGTACAATTCAGCTAAGCATACAGCCGCGAATTATAAGGTAATTATGTGTAAACTTGTCTTGAAAAATCGACAACTGCATTGGTGCAGACATTGCAGGGCCCGCGTACCAAACTTTCCATACCTATAGGACGTTTTCCGAGCATTTTCCAAGCAGAAGCTTTTATTATAAATCAGTACGAAGAAATAAATCTGTAACGCAACTATCGCAATGAAAGGGAGCCATACCAGGCGGCACTTAAAATAATTTCAGCTTAAATCGCAGTAGTGTATAGAACGACTAAACAGCCATATACTAAGAATTACCGCACTAAACGGGGTTAGATCTCCAAAAGCAGCCATTGGATAAAATCYGGGTCAGTTCCGGTGCGTAGAACCGKCTGTTGTGTGAACTTCCGATCTCGTCGAAACAAAGCTTTTCCTGGGCCTACCGTTAGATGAAGTCGACGACAACTTATCTAATCCTTACCATCCTAACGGGAATTAGGTACCCGTTACAACAACTGAACAGCCTATGAGTCTGCAACTTAATGGCCCTTTTCTGGTGTCTAATCACAAAGTAGTAAACGTGAATGAACTGGAAAACGAGTTTGCCAGCTCTGCAGATACTTCCAGGACGGCGGTACCGAACCCTGTACTGCGGGTATTATTGGCATTAGATACTGATGACCGCAGCCTCAAGAAGCAGCTTTTAAATATGGGTCTAGCTTCTTTGACAAAACKGTCGATTTTGCAACCTAGAGCAAACCTCCGAGCACTTGATTCTAGACTGCARAACTGTCTGCAGACGCAAGATAAAGGCCCTTAAAAGTATATATCCGAATAATGAGTGCCTGATTTTAGCAGGGTGCCTATGAGCGACGGAAGGGCACAATAGACCTTGGTAGCAGTGCAAAGCTCATGTTATTTCTATCTATCAAGCTGCACTAAAAACTTAAAATTATTTGAAATCGTACACGTTGAACTTAGTTTAGTGAGACCTCACAGGGAAGCACCGTAAACCTATTGACCGCTTAGTTTCAAGCGCCCTTTCGATCTCCCTATCGTTCCCACAACAGTATGGTGTACCTAACAGGAACGGACCCGCGATTTTGTTCAACCAAAAACTCTCAACTCGACAGGATTCCTTCAAATTATTTGTTATTATATCTGTCTATGTTTTTGAAATATAAAAATTTCCAACATTTTCCATTCCGTTGCCTGTTCCAGCGCTATGCGGAAGACAAAGAAGCGCACATGTTACGTGAGTACGAACGTCTTAAAACAGAATATAATGCATCGCTGACCAAGATCGAAATACGCATGAAAGAGGCACTGGARAAGAAGAATCGTGAGGTTAGCATTTATATTGAAAAGCCAGTGGGGACACACTACTAAAATCATTTTCTTTTTTTTTCAGATGAAGGACGCTACGACCGCAATTGAGAAACAACTCGAATTAGGCTACGACAAAGAAAATAGAAAGAAGAATTAAATGCAATCTTAAATGACAATAGATACGAATAGTCCATATCGTATGTTAATTAATTATTTTTATTGCTTATGAATCAACCAATTTGTTTATTTTAGACTTAGAAAAATAATAATGACTGCAATTTGTTTATTTTGCACTTTTATAAATGCAGTAAATAGCAGAGCATGTAAATAATCAGCGACATTAATTAAATTTACAAAATCAAATATYATCGACTCGACGTTAAAGGCAAATTTAAAGTAAATTAAATATACAGCATAGTCATAAAGTGGTAAGTACTAGTYGCTAAATTAATTACTATTTTTTTGCTTTTATTTTCTGACTTCTGACTTCTGACTCGAAAAATTTCTCCCAAGAAGCCTGCAATTTTTGAAAACAAYTATCGATTTCTGCTTTTGTAATACCCAAACCGGCAGCCATTGTTAGATAAGCAGTTAGCGTTGCTGAGTGATGTGAGCCCCAACCTATGGAAAGACAGAACAGTGTAAAATTTAATACAATAATATTATTTTTTTTATATGTAATCGATTACTAACTAATAAATTCGTGCCCTTCAATTTCCCGGCGATCTCCTACMGCCACGACGCGTGCACCCGAAATACCGCGCGTATACAACATTGAGCCGAATTTCGTTAGTTCTATKTTGGCGTCTTGAAATTGTCTCAAACTCATAGCCAGCGATATTGGATTACCTTTTGCTTCCAACAATATTTCTCCATGACTTATGGCAAATTCTTGCATGCGCATGCGTAAATATTCAAAATTTGCCTTGCGTTCCTTCACTAAATTCAAATAACCATTGCGGCCCAATGACAAAAGTGTCATAAATACGTCGAGCGTTTGAGCCGATGAAGCGCGTCCGGGATATGCCTTGGCCACATTGCGTACCAACTGCTCATCGAAGCCCGCAATGATTGCACCACCAACTGGTACTAARAGATTTTTATCTGTACTCTGCACAAACAAATCCACACGTCCCAGACGTTGTGCTTGTTCCAGTTGATGTGTGAGGTATGTGCTTTGTAAGCCGTAAGCATTATTGACAACATGTGGCAGCGCATGTTGTGCCGCCAATTTTGCCACATTAATGATATCATCAGAATTTCGTGGTGCAAAGCAGCTAGTTGTTGTACAAAAGCAAAGTATATTCTCTTCCCCAATTGCCTTAACATTTTCCGCAAATGCTTGCAAATCCGTAGATAAACTACCGTTATCATTTAGTTGTGGCTCCACAATTACTGGTTTGAGTCCTGCTGTAATTATACTTTTAAAACAGGATTTCTGATCAATACGTGACCATAAAACGTATTTAGCTGCTGGCTTTTGTTGTCGCAGCGTCAGTAGGCATAGGAGCAGGGACATGCCGGTAGCAAGTGGCGCTAAAAAGCAGCTCCGACAACTGCGCACACCCATTTCATGGATTAGATCGAGTAGCATTGCATTTGTTAGATTAGCCATTAGCGTAGAGCCAGCCGCTTTCGGTTGCGCTTCCAACAAATCACCCGAACGTCCAATGCCATGGCCGAAATTATAATGGCGTCGTTCAACGAGCGCTAAATCAGTGTATATATGTGCATACATATATTAGAACATAATTCACATATTTATTACTTACAACATGCTATGCGSGCTTCGCGTTCACCAACTCCCGATTTTTTGGGGAAGTTATTGCTGTCGAGCAGTGATAGTTGCTGCACCAGCTCCTCGATAAGTGTTTCTGTCCAACCATTCAATGGTAGTTTGCGCTGTAGGTTATAAATATTTTCCTATGACTAAGCGTTGCATTTATTGTTTAGTTTATTTACCTTTTCTAGCAGTTCGTTCTTTTCAGTGTCTCTACTTTTCTGTGCATCTTGCGCAAGTTTTAGAWAATTTTCAGGCACTAGTTTCCTACTTATGTTGATTTTTCTAAAATCCATTGGAATTTACGTTTATCACCAGGCAGGATCATAAGTTATAGTAAAGTAGTTAAAAATCACATTTGATGCTTTCTCAAATGTTGTTTGTTTTCTTTAATTATTTTATGTGTCTAATTGGTTGTATATCTTCACTAGTAGTGTGTAATGCTTATTGRTTTGTTTACATTTGATCAGCTGAGCATACCGCTTCTAGAGTGACCAGACACCAGTAACCAGTAAATTATTGAAAAAGTATCTACCACCATGAGAATAATCCTCTAAGTTGTCCCTTTATATTGCAAAAATTCTTTCATTTTGAAATAAAAATAATCTTTAATTATTTCCCTTAAAGTTCATCTAAATWATTAGCTAAGAGTTAGTTTATACGTGCTTTTCACCACACTTAAAARTACCTTAAAATCTAATAAGAATCCAATTTCGAATCAGATTTGCTGCGTTTCCCCTTTCATTTGTGACATCCAACGGAGTCTGTTAAATCGATCTCCAAACGGTTAATCGATTACGAAAACCCATTTCATGAAAGAAACTCTTTCGAAGTTTTTTTTTATTGTCTGTCCGTGCAAGCAATAATTTGAGACATTTTGCAGATGGACAGAATCAGACCATTGTCACCACGCTTACGAAACGCTTAAAAAGTGGTATAACTATGTAAGTAAAAAATTAAGATAAAAATGTGATATYATATTTGTTATACATTGTAACAAAAAAGTACCCGGAAATTGTAAATAAAAAACTCAATATAGATTTATTCAACAATATTTACTTTGTCGCTTATAAAGTAATCCCCACCAACACTTATGCCAATGATTTTTCCATTCTTTGAAACACTTTTCATTAACAATTTTTATTATGGCCTTCAGCTCCTTCATCGAATTTTGTTTTATATTCTCGATCGACTCAAAACGCGTTCCATTCCGATGACTGTTGACATSTTTTCAAGCTCATGCCTCGTCGGCAGTTATTTTGCTTTCCAGGAATGTGAGATCGGAATTCGCAAGATCAAGACCTTTTTGCGGTTCTCGTTTTGGAAAAAATTCAGCTTTATCAGGACGAGTCGAACAAGAATGTGTTTCATACCTAAAATCATTTGAACTGACTCGCGGGAATTCTCGAGCCCTCTTGCCATCTCTCTAACACTTGCCTGACGATTTTCAAGCACCACATCCTTCACTTTTTTAATATTTTCATCGGTTGAAGAGATTAAAGGTTCGTCTAGAACGAGGCATGTCTTCAACGGTCTCTCGACCGATTTTGAAAGCTTTGTACCACTCSTAGGCTTGAGTCTTTAATAAARCTGAATCACCGTCTTATTTGGCATATTAATTAAGGGCASTCCTACCAACTTTTCAAATATAATTTTCCCGGAGAATTTAATAACAAATTACGGATGCTTTTTTGTAGCAATGTTTGGCATCGAAGTATCCCACCAACATCCAAAATGTATTCAACTAAGCTTGCCGAGAACAWGTCTTTCTACCATCCCCTTATATAGTTTGAAAATGAATGAAATCGTATGATAATGAAGCCTACTACCCATAAAACAGTTACGTTAAAAAATATTAACAGTACGATAACTCAGTGTTTTCTGCAACACGCTAGAATTAGAGGTGTTACAGAAGGCCTCCATAAAAATCAGTGTAAAAGTTCTATCCCCTTTTTGTTGAAATTTAGAAACTTAGGAACTAATTTACTAATATTAGCYAAATTCGATACATAATACCAAGTATGTGAAACTCTGTGCCTATACAGGGTTTGTCCGGAAACTAAAATACTGATTTTCTTCCGCCGCGACTGTACTTCGGAGCGTGCGCGCGCCGACTGGATTCGGTAAAAGGCGTTCGTACGAACGAGCGGCTGATCAGTTGTTTCCGAGCACCTGGAGAAATATTTCAGCGTTCGTTAGAATAGAGATAATTCTGTGTGAAACTCGGTAAATCCGCGACAGAGACATTTGATATGATCAAGCAGGCTTACCCATATGTTGCTTTCCCGAGACAAAKAGGCAATCTTCCGAGTGGCAGTTTGTACGAAAAATATCGGTCAAATTTTGAGATGTATTAATGAAATTCGGATAACATATTTTTCTAATAATAATATGTCTTTTTTTTACTTAGTAAAACCGAGCCTATAGTTCCTCGTTCCTATATACAATACAAAATTTAATTTGTTAGAAATATTGAGATTTAGAAATCGTCTTTCTTTCATAATTGTCTGTTCTTGTGCCGGAAATGAATTATGCTGAAATATCCTTAGCCAATAAGTTAACCCCTATGAGGTTCTATACAAATATGTAAGAAAACACCTTTTTGTGCCCAAAAAATAAGGTGACATTTGAATTTAAACTGCGCGCGTCGAAGGATTTGGAGAATTTTTTTTCTTTTTTAGTTTGGTAGTACCGTCAGTCACATTTATGTCAAATTGAGATACGTGTCGTTTTGTGAGCTGCTAAAAGTGAGTTTTTCGTTTTCTGCGATATCGAAATTTGTTGAGCAAAGAATTTGCATTAAATGATCATTTCGCCAAAAACTCGACCCATATCGTTCCGTAACCACCATATTCACCTGATCTGGCGCCGTGCGACTTCTGGCTGTTCACCAAGCTCAAAAGACCGCTCCGGGGACAATGTTTTTATATGATATTCAAGCCGCAGCGAAGACGGAACTGAAGGCCATCGCGGAAAGTGACTACAACCAGTGTTCCGAAGATTGGAAAATCCGTTGGCATAATGTATTACATCTAGTGGGGATTACTTTGAAGGCGATAAAATTGMTTTGGAAGAATAAATAAAGAATTTTCAAAATAAATACAATGCACCTTATTTTTTGGGCACAGAGTATGTCAGCTTTGGAACAGGGATTCACGCCTCGACTCTCCCATACTTAATACATATATGTATCACCTTTAATCCGTTTTCCGAACCCTGCCACCATCTGCCAATACTAGCCTCCTAGGAGTGTTTATTTCAATGGAAATTATTAAGAGATCACTGGAAATCTGGTGGAATGCGATTCAAATTGGAAATTTACACTTCAGGTGCACTGCGTAGGAAGAACATTAAAACAAATACAAAGCAAGGACATCGCAAATGTCAAGTACGTGTTAAACAATAACTGAACTATACATACTAACATAAGTACAATGACTTGCCACTTCCACAGCTGTGATAATATGTTGCTGCGAAAACAGTTTGAAATGCCATAAAATAGTTAAAGGAACAAAGAAGCAGCTGTTAAYTATTCTATAGTGCAATTCTAACAATTAAGTAACACACACACATCTGCAAATTAATGCATTTTTTTCTTTATAAAMAACTTGTGAATTAGTTGCGTAGATGACTCTTCATGGATGAAATTGAAAAGAACCGTTCAGAAAGAAAAACCTGGCACGATGATCTTCTTAATGCTATAAAATAAGTTTCTAAGTTATCCTAAAGGTCAATAATTTAGAAACTTGTCGTTGTCAAACTAGAATTGGCTACAGAGTATCACAGATTTATTCACCTAACGGTTGTWTGTATYACCGAAAGCTAATCRAAATAGATATGGAGTTATATGGGCAAAAAATATTAAGACACACATGGATCGAAGCTAGGAGGGAAGCTTAGAGAGTTAGTTTTCTGTAGAGAGCTCTCTGTCAATGCAGCATAAGTAGCTGATATCAAGATGGCGGTAGATGTACTGTTACGAAGTACAGCCTGCTTAAGGGCAGTGAGCGAGCATTCACTTCGACAGCGGAGCGTAGAACTCATTAACTGTGCATTCACAGCTAATAAAGGAATGACAGTCCACACTAGAAATAGCATTAAACTACTTCATCATCAGTCTCGTTTGGGTATCTGGTCACAGCGGAATTCTCAAACCGAGTTTGATCTTCATTGACCTGTCTCTTATACACATCTAGATGTGTATAAGAGACAGGATATGGAGTTATATGGGCAAAAAATATTAAGACACACATGGATCGAAGCTAGGAGGGAAGCTTAGAGAGTTAGTTTTCTGTAGAGAGCTCTCTGTCAATGTAGCATAAGCAGCTGATATCAAGATGGCGGTAGATGTACTGTTACGAAGTACAGCCTGCTTAAGGGCAGTGAGCGAGCATTCACTTCGACAGCGGGGCGTAGAACTTATTAACTGTGCATTCACAGCTAATAAAGGAATGACAGTCCACACTAGAAATAGCATTAAACTACTTCATCATCAGTCTCGTTTGGGTATCTGGTCACAGCGGAATTCTCAAACCGAGTTTTGTCGATTTGTAGTCTCCTGTGTATAAGACCCTTCTTAGAAATTTAGCCTATCCTAACCTTTACTTCCCAAGAAACTGCTGATTTRTCGGAACCGCCGATATCGAATCACTATACCATATAACTGCAATACAAACTGAACGATCAAATAGTATTCTTGTAAATGTTGTCCTTTTTTGGTTGACAAACTTTTTAATACAATTTGCATAGATTATAGTCAAGAAAACACTACAATATCCGAGCATACATATTTGTTTAGATCGAATCTCTATAGTATAAAGCTGTCATGCAATCTAACTAAATATAAAGCTTTTTATAAAAGATCATTTTCCATTAAGTAACCTTAAATCCACTTGAATCCTTTTTGAGGTTCCTTACTTAATTAAAGAAAAAAACACAGAAACTTCAAATTTACTGGGAAATGCTTATTATCAATTGAAAGACAATTCTTTGGCATTTATTTTTTGAAGATTATCTCCTTCAAATGTTGGCTGCGGCTACGTCTTAGACGGTCCAACCATTGAAACCAATTTTCGTTGACTTGTTTGAGCCTTTCGACTGGCAACTGGCGAATGACATTCGTGTTGTGTTGCTTCAAGGCCTGAATCGAAGCTGGATTGTCCGCTAAGACTTTAGACTTTACACATCCCAACAGGAAAAAATCTAACGGCGTGATATCACACGATCTTGGTGGCCAATCGWCCGGCCCAAAACGCGAAATTTTCTGCTCATCGAAGTGTTCTCTCACGAGCTTCAATTTCAAGCTTCAAATAATCGGTTATTATGCCGCGATGACGGTGGTCATTGATKGTWACRTTCTCATCGGCATCACTTYTGAAGAAATATGKACCGATAATTCCTTCGGCCCACAAACC